GGCCAGGGCCATGGCATCCTACCTTTTAAGTCTGTGCTTCAGCCTCCCTTTTTTTGTTCTAAGACACAAAAACCATTGTTCTCAGAGAGCTCATATTCTGGTAGAGATACACACAATAAACCCTAAATTGGCAGTAGGCCGAGATTACGCCACTGCACTCCAGCCTGGGCGACAGAGTGAGACTCTGTCTCAATTAAAAATAAATAAGTAAATAAATAAATAAATAAATAAGATATGGCCAGATGTGGTGGCTCACACCTGTAATCCCAGTGCTTTGGGAGGCCAAGGTGGGAGGATAGCTTGAGGTCAGGAGTTTAAGACTGGCATGGGCAACAGAGCGAGAGACCCCATCTCTACAAAAGAATTTTTTAATTAGCCACGAGTAATGGTATGTGCCGTCATCCCATCTCCTCTGGAGGCTAAGGTGGGAGGATCACTTGAGCCCAGGGGTTGGAGGCTGCAGTGAGCTGTGATCACTGTTACCTGCTGCACCCCAGCTTGGATGACAGAATGAGACTCTGTTTGTAAAATTTAAAAATAAATAAAAAATAATAAGTTTAGTACAGGTGAGAGCAAGCATTACGCAGGGAATAAACAGGTTGGTAGAAAGTAATGGGAGAGGGATGCAGGGGTTTCAGGATAACTGGAGAAAGCCACCTTGCGGAGGTGAGACTCAAGTGGAGAACTAGAAAATGATGTATGTGAAGGCTGATGTATGTGAAGAGCCCAGGGAGGAGAATTCCAGGCAGGGGAAGTAGCAGCAAGTGCAGAGGCTTCTAGATGGGTCAAGGCTTTGCGTGTTCACCCACCAGGAAGGAGATGAGTGTGGCTGTCCCTGTGGACATGCAGGACAAGGTGAGGAGTCCGCATTGTACTCTAACACAGTGGGAAGCCTGCTAGGTTTCCACTAGGAAGTGCTATGACCTGGATGCTTCAGATGTGTCTGATGAACAGACTGGGGAAAGGCACCTGGGGAAAGGCCCAGGTGAGAGGAGATGGAGGTGAGAGGAGATGGATGAGAGCCATAAACAGATCCATTCAGCACCGATGTTGTCGATAGCCTCCAGCGGTGTCACAGGCTTGAAGGCAACACATACCGTGCACACATCTGAAGACTGCCTACCACGTGCTGGGCGTTGTATTTTCCTTCTGTTCGTTTGTTGCATCTCACTAATGTTCCTATTTAATATAATATTTTCATTTTGTAAATGAAGAAACCTCAGAGAGATTGATTTTCAAATCAAACTCCTGCCCATGCCGCAGCCGATGGTCTGGTCTGCACAGCGCTGCAGGTAGAGCTGCTCGTCAATGTGTATTGCATGGCAAAAATGGAAGGAGCTGAGCGTATTGTGCAGGGCGTGGGAGGGTCTTTTGACCCAAAATGACACCACTGCATGTGGACCAGAGTAATATTTTCTCCCCATAGGACCTAGAGGTCTCAGCTAAGCTAGAGATGGATGACCTAGGGGATGAAAACACATTTTGGCAGTGTCAAGTTTATTTCAGCAGAGCTACCCTGTGCTCATAAGTCACACCTCGCAGGAATGGGAGGCAGAAAGGTTCCATTTAGAAGGAAACGACTAGTTTTGGAAAGTGAGTGTGGACATTGAAGATCCCAAGATCCATAGGGATGATGGATGCTGGCAAGGACAATAGGTAACAGATACCAACAAGAATGCCTAACATTTATTGAGTGCCTACTATGTACTAAGTATTGAGTAAATGTTCCAGAGCTGTTATCTTATGGTGGTATTTCTTAAATTTCTCATAATGATCCTATAAGGTAGGCTTCACTGTGTTTCCTTAAGTCTACAAAACCATCAATTCAATAAAAGCTTTTCACATCAAAACATGTATTAAACTTATACGATGAAGTTTCATTGTCTTGTGCTTTTCCTAATGAAATATAGAACATGTTCATTCATAACATAACCTGTTTATTCTTCAGGATAATAATGCAAGTTTGAATCAAAGCCTAGATATTCAGAGTCAGAGAGTCTCCATGCACAACTGCTAACTGTACAAAATATATGTAAAATAAAATTAAAATTAAAAAACAGAGTCAGAGAGTTTCTGGCTCCCTTTCAGCTGTGTCCATGCGGTTCTCCATGTTCCACCTGGGATTTCTTTAGCCCCTTTAGGATGGATGGTATAATTTAGAGCTGAGCAAAGAACAGAGGCTCCTTCCGCATCTCCTGGTTTATGAAACTTGTGACTTTCCTCCTCTTAATTGGATCATCTGTCTTTTAACTAAGAAATACTTCACGGTGCATGACAATCACACAACCTTTTCTAGCTTTGAAAATTGTGTGATCTAACCTTAGAGATGTGCCTGAATCTGCACATGTACTGGCATTGACATCCCAATTTCTCCTGTCTGGTGACTGACAAGGTTGTTATTGTTTAAGCATTGATTATTAGATGCTATCCTATTACTTAAAAATGTGCCCAGTCTGGTGGCTCACGCCTGCAATCCTGGCACTTTGGGAGGCTGAGGCAGGTGGATCACCTGAGGTTAGGAGTTCGAGACCAGCCTGTCCAACATGGCAAAACCCTGTCTCTAGTAAAAATACAAAGGTTAGCTAGGCATGGTGGTGCTCACCTGTAATCCCAGCAACCTGGGAGGCTGAGGTGGGAGAATCACTTGAACGCAGGAGGCAGAGATTGCAGTGAGCCAAGATCACGCCACTGCACTCCAGCCTGGGCAACAGAGTGAGACTCCATCTCAAAAAAAAAAAAAAAAAAAAAAAACGTTAAAGGTATATTAGAATTAGTTTGTAACACTGAAGGTTAAAGATGTTGAACAGTTTACCTTCCATGTCATAGCTGGCAGGTGATATAACTAGAATGCACACCAAGTCAGCTGGGTACTTCAGGCTGTAATGACTGCTTTTGTCAAGGTTACCAAAGAGCTCCACATGGCCAAATGCATTGACTAATTCTCAATTGTTGTCTGACTTCAGCAGCACTTGACACCCTTTTTTTTTTGAGACAGGGTCTCACTCTGTTGCCCAGGCTGGAGTGCAGTGGCGTGATCTCAGCTCACTGCAACCTCTGCCTCCCGGGTTCCTCAGCTTCCTGAGTAGCTGGCCCTACCGGTACATGCCACCATGCCCACTTTGCCTGGCTAATTTTTTGTATTTTTAGTAGAGACGGGCTTTCACCATGTTGGTCAGGCTGGTCTTTGAACTCCTGACCTCAGGTGATCCATCTGCCTAGGCCTCCCAAAGTGCTGGGATTACAGGCGTGAGCCATTGCGCCTGACCATTTGACACCATTTTTAGGAAACAGTTTCTTGACTTGGCTTTCTTAGGTCTTCTATATCTGCATCACCCTGAAAACCTCTGCTGCTCTTCCTCACTTCTCCTAACCTGCCTGACCTCTGGATGCTGAGTACTCCATGTTAACCATCCTCAGGCTTCTCTTGTCTTTCTGCGTCCGCTATTTTGGTGACCCCGTCTAGTCTCATAGCCACGTCCACACTCCCAGCTCTGACGAGTGCATCTGCAGCTCCCAGCAGCTGCCCACTCTCCCTCCTGCCTACTCTCCGTCACTCCCCGGATGCCAGATAGGCTTTGCAAACTGAAGGCTTCAACCAGACTCCTCTCTTTGGCATCGTCCCTGACTCCTCTGTTTCGTTCACTCGCTACATCTGATCCTTTAGCAAGTTCTATCACCTCAACCTCAAAATTACATTGAAAACTGCCTTTTAGAGGCAGGGTCTCACTCTGTTGCCCAGACTGGTCTTAAACTCCTGGCCTCAAGTGATCCTCCTGCCTTGGCCTCCCAAAACGCTGAGATTACAGACATGAGCCACCGCCACATCTAAAACTTAATCCACAACTACCACCCTAGACTAGCTCTATTAGTCTGTAATCGGCCAACACTTCTATCCCCATCTCCTCAAAAGCCTCTTCCCCCGCTGGAAGCCAGAGGTAACCTTCCCCAACCTAAGGCAGATCCAGGTGTCATCTGCTTAAAGTCATCCAAGGGCTCCTTGTCTCAACCCAAGAAAGCCAGAGCTCTTACAGCCGCACAGCATCCTTGTTGTCTGGAGTCTGCTGGTTCCTGGTTTCTGTTTCTCCTTCCCAGCCTTGCTAATGGTTCTCCAGCCAGTCTGCTTGCCGTTCGGGTCTCACACAGCCAAGCTCCCTCTGCCTCAGGGACTCAGGCTTTTATACCTGGGCTTCTTTTGGTAACCCTTCTCCCCTGAGATTTTCATATGCTTGCACCTCATTTTCTTTTCTTTCTTTCTTTTTCTTTCTTTTTTTTTGAGTCAGGGTGTCACTCTGTCCACCCAGGCTGGAGTGCAGTGGCACGATTGCGGCTCACTGCAGCCTTGATCCCCGGGGCTCAGATGATTCTGCCACCTCACCCTCCCAAGTAGCTGGGATGACGGGTGCGCACCACCACGCCCAGCTAATTTTTGTATTTTTAGTAGAAACGGGGTTTCTCTAAATTGCCCAGGCTGGTCTCGAACTCTTGGACATAAGCAATCTGCCCGCCTTAGCCTCACAGAGTGCTGGGATTACAGGCACGAACCACCATGCCTGGCACCCCCCTCATTTTCTTGAGGCCTTTTAAAATGCTACCCCAACAAAAGAGATCTTCCTGCATAAAACAGCCGCCTCCCAGAATTCTGTTCTGTTCTCTCTGCTGCAGTTTCCCCCGCAGCACTGGTACCACTTGCTATAGTATACATTGGTTTGCTCCTGGCCTCTCCACACCACTGTAACCCTAAGTTCCAGGAATGCAGGGGCTGTGACTGTTTAGTCACTTGCTGGTCCTGAGTGTTTAGAGTAGAGGCTCACCTGAAGGGGGCTCCTGGTGGATGTTTGTTGAATTATCAGACAAAGGAGGAAGGAACAGAGCACCTGCTGGTGGAGACAGTGCTGGGCTCTGACATGTGTTTCTTTACTGCCCAGATTTGGAAGTCGGAATAAGCACTGTGCTGTGACCACTCCCACCCACGCTGACTTCTGTCTCGTGTCTTCTTCCAGGTCTCCGGCTCTCGCAGGCTCTGTGAGGGCTTTGCTATGACCTCAGTCCCCTCGCGGAGCCAGGACTGCCCCTTGCTGCCGCAGCCTCTCCAGGTGCCCGCCTCGCCCTGCCCCATCCTCAGCCCCGAGTCACCATGGGCAGCGTCAGTAGCCTCATCTCCGGCCACAGCTTCCACAGCAAGCATTGCCGGGCTTCGCAGTACAAGCTGCGCAAGTCCTCCCACCTCAAGAAGCTCAACCGGTATTCCGACGGGCTGCTGAGGTTTGGCTTCTCCCAGGACTCGGGTCATGGCAAGTCCAGCTCCAAAATGGGCAAGAGCGAAGACTTCTTCTACATCAAGGTCAGCCAGAAAGCCCGGGGCTCGTACCACCCAGATTACACGGCGCTGTCCAGCGGGGACTTAGGGGGCCAGGCTGGGGTGGACTTCGACCCGTCCACACCCCCCAAGCTCATGCCCTTCTCCAATCAGCTAGAAATGGTAAGTGGGGGTCGCTGGCAAAGGTGAGTGGGTTGGAAAGGCGGGAGACAGCAAAATGGGGGTGGAGAGCCTGGAGGTTCAGGGGGAGTGGTGACCTGAGCATGTAGACTCCAAAAAGCCAGAGCGGCAGGGGTGCGGCAGAAGCCTGTGGCCACACCGCAGAGATCAAAGGGTGCACAAAGGAATCAGAGCATTGCTCAGTCCCCTGGAGCAGAAGTCTCAGGTCAGCCATAAGCAAAGAGCGCAGGGGACACGTCAGCTGTCCGGAGTCCCACTGGAATGTAGCTGGATTGTCAGCGCAGGACGCCTGGGGAAGGAGAGGGAGCCCTGTTCTCATGTAGAAGCACAGATGAAGAGGATGCAGGCGGGGAGTTAACCACTTCTCTCCCCAGAAGACTCGTGCGGGTGGGTGGGGTCTTCTCATTTGCTGCCCTGGTGTGCCTTAGCTCCTTGCTCAAGCTGCGCCTGGAGGCATCTTTGAATACAGGCTGGAATTTTGTCATCCATTTACCAGAGATGAGGGCAAAAGAGGCCCAGGCACTCCGAAATCCAGCCCTCACACCAGCCCGAGCCCTCATGCGTCCCACGAGTGGACCCTGAAATCAATTTTCCTATTCAGTCCTTTGCCCCTTGCCCTGGGGAAATGAATCACGGGTTTTGATTTACTAGGAAAGAGCCTCTTATGTTTGCATAGAGCACTCAGCTTTTCAAACGGAGGGGCTTGTAAACTGCAAAGCACTCTACCAGGGAAAATTACAGTTTTAAAAAAGGATTGTGATTTGGAGTGAGGCTCCCAACCCCGTAAGGAGACCAGGGCCATGTCCTTGCTCCAGGCTTAATGGAAGAAGCAGTGAACAGGAAGAAGGGACGGACCTAGAGAGGGGACAGCAAGCTCGGCTAGCCTAATGCCCTAACCTGCTCCACACAGAGACCTAGAGCCTCAAGATGGTGTTTATCACCTCGGGAGGGCTGGAACAAGCTGGTGGCAGGTTGCTATTTCATGGAACAAAGTGCCCAAGTCACCATTAGGGTTTTTTCTTTCCTAAGAGAGATTTATCACATTCAGCTGCTTCAAAGCAACAGGCAAGGTATGCTAAGACAAGTGACCGAGAGGGATGCTGCATGTGCTGGGAGAACCCAGATTGGCTCAAGGTGGGCACACGTGCTGGGGGAGGGAGGGTGCAATGCGCGTGCAGGGGAGGCATGAATCACCGCAGTCCTTTTCCTCTACAGGGCTCCGAGAAGGGTGCAGTGAGGCCCACAGCCTTCAAGCCTGTGCTGCCGCGGTCAGGAGCCATCCTGCACTCCTCCCCGGAGAGTGCCAGTCACCAGCTGCACCCCGCCCCTCCAGACAAGCCCAAGGAGCAGGAGCTGAAGCCTGGCCTGTGCTCTGGGGCGCTGTCTGACTCCGGCCGGAACTCGATGTCCAGCCTGCCCACACACAGCACCAGCAGCAGCTACCAGCTGGACCCGCTGGTCACACCCGTGGGACCCACCAGCCGTTTTGGGGGCTCTGCCCACAACATCACCCAGGGCATCATCCTCCAGGACAGCAACATGATGAGCCTGAAGGCTCTGTCTTTCTCTGACGGAGGTAGCAAGCTGGGCCACGCGAACAAGGCAGACAAGGGCCCCTCGTGCGTCCGCTCCCCCATCTCCACGGACGAGTGCAGCATCCAGGAGCTGGAGCAGAAGCTATTGGAGAGGGAAGGCGCACTCCAGAAACTGCAGCGCAGCTTGGAGGAGAAGGAGCTCGCCTCCAGCCTGGCCTACGAGGAGCGGCCGCGGCGCTGCAGGGACGAACTGGAGGGCCCGGAGCCCAAAGGCGGCAGCAAGCTCAAGCAGGCCTCACAGAAGAGCCAGCGCGCACAGCAGGTCCTGCATCTGCAGGTACTGCAGCTTCAGCAGGAAAAGCGGCAGCTCCGGCAGGAACTCGAGAGCCTCATGAAGGAGCAGGACCTGCTGGAGACCAAGCTCAGGTCCTACGAGAGGGAGAAGACCAGCTTCGGCCCCGCACTGGAGGAGACCCAGTGGGAGGTGAGGCCACGCAGCGCTCACGGGCTTGGGTGGTCAGCGGTTTGGCGCCAGTCCCCCTCCTCTCCTTCTGGTGCTGGCCAATAGCCTGCAAACACAGACCATGCAGGCAAGTGAGGCTAACGTGCTGATTTTATCACTCAAAGAAGGGGTTCCCTGCAAACCATGTTGGGGGATCGACTTACTTCTGAGCTTCCTTCTATCCCCACCATCACCCTCATGTCCCCTAGATTTCAATTTCCCCAAGTGAGCCATGAACCAAAAAGCCGGAAGCCAGATGACCAAGGCTCAGCCAGGCTGTGGGCCATCCTCCCTTCAATCTGCTCACAGGAGGCTCAGAAGAAGCACAAGCTATGCCTGAGTTCACGCAGGGCCAGGAGCCCAAGAGAGCACAGAATGTATTTGTTGCTTTGGAGGGAGGGACCGCACCCACTAGGAAGAGACACCCCATTGGTGGCAGGTTTCAGTGATGGAAATGGCCACTCTTTGCAGAAATGTAAGTGGAACTTCTATTTGGTGAGCTGAGATGGAAACCTAGGAGAGGAAGGAAAGAGTCCCACGCTCGCACATTTACACACTCACACATACTCACCCGGTCACACTTGGAAATGGGGCATCCGGACCTGACCGGGCTGGAGAACCCCATAACCTCTGCATCCTATTAGCGAGAAGCCAGCTTTTCTCACCAGCCCGGTGGTCTGGATGACCCATGGAGTTGAAGTCTATCGTTGAGGCTCTTTACATGCTCGCACCCTGCTTGGTCCGTCCACGTGCCTGCCTCACCCCCAGTTCAGAGTTCAAATCTCAATCTACACGCAAACCCCTGTTTATGTACAAGTCAACAACCAGTGGTTTAACTTGCCCACTGCTGGCAGCTGTATCACCCCCATTTAACACCAATTGTATTGGTCTCTGTGTCAGCCTGATTTCTGTCATCCATGTTTATACTCACACCCTCTGACCTCACCCCTGCCTGCATGCACCCAGCCTTCCTCTCTCCTCTCTACTGGGGTAAAGACTACATTGCAAATTCACTGCCGTACCCGGTGACTAGTACCATGCTGGTTTGGATGCAGAGCCCAGTCCACATCTGCCAAATGAGGTATCATTGTCTTCTTCTCTTGCTCTTCTTCTCTATTTCCACTCCTATCCCCCATCAAAATTTGGCCAAAAGCAATGATGAAAACCGAAGCCACAGGTTAGAACCATGTGTCTCTGGATCTTGGCCATTTGGGGTCATGGGAGACCAAGGCCAGTCTGGCTGAATCTTAGGAGTGAATGAAGGCCAGAGCATGTGGCTCTACAAAATGGATTCTTGGAGCAAGCCTGGAAGCCACCTTTACATTTCCTTTCCCAGTAGAAATGTCCCCTTGCCCTCAGTGAAACTCTGCACAGTCCTGGAGAAAATCCTACCCTACCCAGGATGCCTGCTTGGGACCAAGAATTTCATTCCAAGGCCAACCCTGTATTCATGTCATGAAGGGAGTGACAGTCATGGCTGAGGCATGGGTCTGGCTTTGAACCTCAGCTTGACCGCTTATGATCCAGGTGATTCTAAATACATTAGCCATGGTGGCAATGGGGTGTAGTGATTAAACTGTTAGGATCAGACCCTTACTCTTATACTTTATATATTATATATATATATGTGTGTGTATATATATATATATATATATATATATGCCCTCAGGCTGGTCACTTCACCAGCTATTTGCTCTCATAACCTCTCTGTGCCTCAGTTTCATTGATGTAAATTGAAGCTTAGTAATAGTACCTACTTCATCGGGTTGTAAGGAATAGATGAGCAAATGTAGGGCTTGGCACTTAATAACACTATAAATTATTAGTGAAAGTATGTTTATAATATACTTACATATGGCTAGGCGTGGTGACTCACACCTGCAATCCCGGCACTGTGGGAGGTCGAGGCAGCCAGATCACTTGAGGTCAGGAATTCAAGACCATCCTGGCCAACATGATGAAACCCCATCTCTATTAAAAATACAAAAACCGGCCGGGTGCGGTGGCTCAAGCCTGTGATCCCAGCACTTTGGGAGGCCGAGACGGGCGGATCACAAGGTCAGGAGATCGAGACCATCCTGGCTAACATGGTGAAACCCCGTCTCTACTAAAAAGATACAAAACACTAGCCGGGCGGGTGGCGGCCGCCTGTAGTCCCAGCTACTCGGGAGCTGAGGCAGGAGAATGGTGTGAACCCAGGAGGCGGAGCTTGCAGTGAGCTGAGATCCGGCCACTGCACTCCAGCCTGGGCGACAGAGCGAGACTCCGTCTCAAAAAAAAAAAAAAAAACAAAACACAAAACCAGCCAGGCATGATGGCAGGTGCCCTGTAATCCCAGCTACTTGGGAGGCTGAGGCAGGAGAATCGGGAGGGGAGGCGGAGGTTGCAGTGAGCCAAGATCGCACCCTGACCCAGCCCCGGGTGACAAAGTGAGACTTCTTCTCAAATAACAACAATAATAATATACTATGTGTCATTAGACATGATGACGATTATTTTATCAGTTTACTATATAGCCTAGCTCAATAACCTGGGGAAAGGGTCACAGCAATGTCCAGCTTACTTTCAGATGGGACAAAGGCTGGATGCTTAACACCAGACCACCGCATCCGGAGTGGCTTGGTTATTTTAGGCAGCTGAGCTGTCAGTTCCCTGGGTAAGGACACTCACCTCTTGGCGCTCTGTCTCTATCCCGCCCTCGGCAGGTGTGCCAGAAGTCAGGCGAGATCTCCCTCCTGAAGCAGCAGCTGAAGGAGTCCCAGACAGAGGTGAACGCCAAGGCTAGCGAGATCCTGGGTCTCAAGGCGCAGCTGAAGGACACGCGGGGCAAGCTGGAGGGCCTGGAGTTGAGGACCCAGGACCTGGAGGGGGCCCTGCGCACCAAGGGCCTGGAGCTGGAGGTCTGTGAGAATGAGCTGCAGCGCAAGAAGAACGAGGCAGAGCTGCTGCGGGAGAAGGTGAACCTGCTGGAGCAGGAGCTGCAGGAGCTGCGGGCCCAGGCCGCGCTGGCCCGCGACATGGTGCCACCCACCTTCCCCGAGGATGTCCCCGCCTTGCAGCGGGAGCTGGAGCGGCTGCGGGCCGAGCTGCGGGAGGAGAGGCAAGGCCATGACCAGATGTCCTCGGGCTTCCAGCACGAGCGGCTGGTGTGGAAGGAGGAGAAGGAGAAGGTGATTCAGTACCAGAAGCAGCTGCAGCAGAGCTACGTGGCCATGTACCAGCGGAACCAGCGCCTGGAGAAGGCCCTGCAGCAGCTGGCACGCAGGGACAGCGCCGGGGAGCCCTTGGAGGTTGACCTGGAAGGGGCTGACATCCCCTACGAGGACATCATAGCCACCGAGATCTGAGGGGCTGCCTGGGAAGGCGAGTCTGGGGACCTGGCACTGGGAGGCAGGGCTCTCCTGTGCCTCCCCCTTGCTCAGCAACTCAGACCCCTCTGAGAGACACCACTCCCTGGGACACAGACCCAGGACCCCCGAGGGGAGGGCAGGATGGCCCTTTCCTTCCCTCTCTGATTTCCCAGTGTTCACCAGCCCTGCAGCCCACCAGGCCTCAGGCCCTGACTCCTCTGGCTTTCCCAGGAGATGGGTCCAGGGGTCTCTCTGCTTTGGTTAAGGGCTCCCTAAACTTTGGCCTTTGTTCAAAATAGATATCCTGTCCCCCTCCTCCAGGGAAGGTGGCCACAGCAAGTACAGGGTCTCCCCTCCGCTTCTCATCCCAACCTCTTTTTCCCCGTGGACACATCGGAATGCCTTGGAAATAGAAAGAAGCCATATATGACCAGAAGCCTTGGAACCGGCCCCATCAGAACCTGAGCTATTCTCTGGCTGCAGAGGTGTAGGGGTGAAATGAGCTGTGGTGAAGCTGGCTTTGAAACCTCAGGGCTGTCCTGGGCCCGACAAGCCACAGGAAGGAGGGGAGAGCCAGGCAGCCCGCAGTGTGGAGACGCTGCCACAGCCAGAGGAGGGCAGAGGGAAAATCCAAGGGTTGGGAACCAGTGGCGGGTGATGGCCAACCCCTGGGGCCCAGTCCCTGTTTACTGGTCCTTGCGAATGGGAGCTGAGCAGCCTCTGGACAGCCAGTGGCCTTTGACCTCAGTGATCATTCTTCTTTAAGCCATAGACCCTGAGACCCCCGGCTGGGTGCTGGGAAGGGAGGGTTGAAGCCACCATGAACCAGAGGGTGTGGCTTTCCAGTTGCCCTCGGGGAGCCTCCCCATCTGTTCAGCTGGGGCCAGAGGCTGGGAATCCCCACCTGGTTCACAGTGGCCAGCGGCTACTCTGGAATGTTTTTCCTTCCCCAGAATCAAGCTTTTCCTTGATCCAGAAGAGCCCATATCACTAAGACGGCACATGTGTGATCTGGGCATTTTCCTCCTCTGCCCGCAGCCAGGTTCGGCGGCACACCTTTCCCCCTTAGCGCCTTCAGGGCTGAGTTCTGGGTTTCTACAGGTCAGGACGGCTCCTCAGAGTGCCAGGGAGCCAGAGCCCCAAGCAGGAAGAAAAAGAGGCATATACACAGCCGTGTGCAGAGCCTGGCCACCAGCCATCCTCCCTCCACCTCATGCCCCCGTTTGTCCCAGACTAAAGGACCCAGAGAGCAGCTCCCTTTCTCAGGAGCTTGGGCAGTGCCCCAGGGGGCCCAGGGTTTCTCTGCAGATGTGCAGAGCTGGAGGTGGTGGAAAAGGATAAAAGGGAGTTTCTCTGTTGTTTGGTTCAGGGATTTTATTTTTATTTTTGTTTTTGTTTTTATTTTTATTTTTATGAGACAGGGTCTTGCTCTGTCCCCCAGGCTGGAGTGCAGTGGCATGATCATAGCTCACTGCAGCCTCATACTCCTGGGCTCAGGCAATCCTCCTGCCTCAGCCTTCCAACTAGCTGGGACTACAGGTGCACGCCAACATGCCTGGCTAACTTTTCATTTTTTTTTGTAGGGACGGGGTCTCGTTTTGTTGCCAAAGCTGGTCTCAAACTTCTGGCCTCAAGCAATCCACCTGCCTTGGCCTCCCGAAGTGCTGAGATTACAGATGTGAGCCACCGTGCCTGGCCAGATTTTTCTTTTCTTCTTCTTTCTTTCTTTTTTGCTTTCTTGTCTTTTCAGAAGCAAGCCAGACCTAGCAGGCTGTTCCATGTTCTATTTTTGACTGTAGCCACAGCTGCTGTTCTCAGGACAGCAGCCCTTCCCACATGCCTGTGCCTGCTGCCTGCTGAGATGAGGAGGGGGGCATCTGGGAACTTGCGAGTCCGAGGCCAGTCCCCATTTCTGCCTCGCCCACCCTTGGCCCTTAGAGACCCTGAGGTGGGGGTGGGGAGATGCTTCTCTCCTTGCCCCCCCGCCCTCATGGGTCCTAGCCCTTCCCTGAGTGTGGGCTGAGGCCAGAGTCACCTTTTCTGTGGCTGGCTCTACCTTCCTGTCCCTGGGGTTAAACGCTGCCCATCCTGCCCTCCTCAAATGACAGAGGAGGTTTTCTAGAATTCCAAACCATTGCTCTTAGTCCCAAGCTAGGTTTGAACCTGGAATCTACCAGCCAAAAGTCCCTCCCTGCCTGAGGGCAGTACCCTCCATCGCGCACAGTTCAGACCCAAGTCAAAGATGTCCCATTCCTTGCCCCCCGGCCCTCATTTCCTTCATTTCCACCAGGCTGTGCCTTGTTTGAGTTTTTCCTCCCAGTGAGACTGCCCCATGGAGAGAAAGGAAAGGGCTGGCTCCCCCTCCCCAGGCTGGAGACCCCCACCCCCACCCCAGGAAAGAGCAGCCAGAGTCCAGCGCTCTGCCCTCAGACGTTGCCTGAGAAGAAGTGGCTGCCACACCGAGGGGAAGGCCCTGAAGCATGAGACTGTGCTCCGCCATGGTGTCCCGGTGCCCTCCATACACAGGGGAGCGCAGCCTTCTCTGTATCTCCATGGCCCTGTCCCAGGCCGGCTCAGACGTGTTCCCCCCAGGCCTTGTCCAACATCCATGGCGGCAGATATCTTCCCTGGGCTGCCACCAGCCCCAGCCCCAGCCCCAGAGTGGCCCACAGTGGCACTAGAACGCAGGTGTCCCGCGACCTCGCGACCTCATCGTCCTGTGGGTGTTCTTTCCCGCCCTGTCCAAAAGCGCCCTCACTATTCTTGGACCATGCCAGATTCTGCGTCTCTAGAAAGAGGCTCTGGACAGCAGAGGCCTCCAAGCACAGAGCCCGGCCCCAGGCCCCAGGCCCCAGATGGGGTGGGCTTCCTGCCCTTCCCTCTGGGCACGCCTGCTGGCACGCTGACCCCCTTGAATGGACCAACCTGCTGTGTCCCCAAAGGATGCCTGCAGGAGAGAGCAGCGCTCCGCACCACCTCACCAAGGATCGAACTCTGCCCCTGGGCTTCGGAATGACTGGACTCTCACGGGGTTCCCTCCTAGCTCTCCTGGTGAACTCCTGCCACACACTCGCAGCCCCTAGAGCACTGAGCTCACACGAGACTGGGATGTGGGGGGCATCTCTCCCCAAGGAGGCCCTCGCTGAGCCTCCTGTGCCTGGTCCTATCCCGGGCCATGTCTTAGGTGAGACAGTTGCCCGAAACTAAGCCAGGCCGGGCTGTAGGAGCAGCAGCTTTGGGAGAGGGATTTCCCTGCAGACCTCAAGTCATCATGCAGTGGGTGCTGCCATGACAGAGGCTGTACCCCTGGGCCAGCGAGGCTGCTCACCCACCTCTTGTGCAAGGTGGGCTTCGTGCTGTGCCTGCAGGCAGAGCTGGAGCCCCCAGCAGAGGCAGGCTGGGACAGACCAGCATTTGGAAGATGTACATAGTTGTTTTTCTCTTTGTGGTTTCTTGTTGGGTTTGGTTTGCTTTTGACAGCTTCATTTTATTTTTGGTGTCACTTTTTGGCCATGTAAACTATTTGTTGCAATTTTATGTTTTTATTTATGAATAAAGAATGCCATTTCTCACGCTCTCTAGAGCCACACGTGTCTGCCCTCTTCTCCCCTCGCTATGGTGTGGCAGCTCCCTGGCACTTCTTCCCTCGAAACAGGAAAGATGACGTCCCTTCCACCAGAGAGGGAGGTGAGGAAGGCGGCACAGGGCAGTGGGAAAGGGGGCCCCAGAGGTCAGATAGGCTTTAGCTGGCCCCTGCCCCCATCACCTACCCCGGGACCTTATCTGTGAAATGAGAGGAAAAGGGACTCAGGGACAGGTGCCCCTGTAGAGTCAGAGCATCCTCTCCAAAAGATAGCCCCTCCCCACCCAAACCGCATGCCCCACCGGCTGCTCGCCTCACCAGCCAACTCCTGGGTCTACCGCATATGGCCTCTTGGCAAAAGACCAGCATAGCTATAGTTGCCACTGCCCCAGGGCCCCCTGGTGGGGCAGGTGCAGTCACCACCATGGCCATCTGTCCAGCCTTCTTGGTTCCAGCCTACCTGGTGCCCCCTTGACAACCTTCCCTACTATCCCGGGCTCACAGCCTAGGCCCAGAGGGCTGCTGCTCAGATGGCGACAGACAGAAGGGACATGTTACGAGGAAATTGAAATCGCAAGGCAGCCTAGGGGGCACATAAGGGGCAGATGACAAGGCCTCTGAGGTGGGGAAGGTTAGTGTAGACTGGGGGATCTGGGAAGAGGCAGGCAGGAGAAGACTTGGGGCAAGGGTAGGACACAAGAAGAGTGGGAGGGAGGAAAGGACTAGAAACATGTCTCCGGGGCAGGTGTTCACACAGCTGCCTGCCCACCTGTGATGGGAAAAGAGCAGCACTGGGGGTTGGAGAGGCAGGAGGACCAGGGTGCAGGGGCCCACGCAGAAGCTCAACTCACTGAGCCAGGACAGGAGCCAAATTCTGATTAACATAGAAGCTCCAGCTTTGGGACAAAGGGGTCATCTCCGACCTGGGGTAACTCTTCCCTGTCTTCCTCCTAGACCTGGCCCAGGCTGGTGACCTCACTAAAACATGCCTGTCACTAATGACACTCTTGGGTTACCCCTTCCTCTTTAATTCGAGCAGGCCCAGAGATTCATTTTAACCAATGGGATACAACAGGAGTGATGCTCTGCCAGTTTCAGCCTAAGCCTAGAAGGCCTAGCAGCTTCTACTTTGATTCTGTTGTTTGAGGCAGGGTCTCACTCTATCACCCAGGCTGGAGAGTGCAGTGGTGTGATCATGGCCCACTGAGGCCTTGACTTCATGGGCTCAAGCAGTCCTCCTGCCTCAGCCCCCCAAGTAGCTAGAACCACAAGCTTGCACCACCATACCTGGCTAATTTTTTAATTTTTTTATGGAGATCGGGGGCAGGGGTCACTATGTTGCCCAGGCTGGTCTCAAACTCCTGGCCTCAAGCCATCCTCCCACCTTGGCCTCCCAAAGTGCTGGGATTACAGGCATGATCCCCTGTGCCTGGCCTGCTTCCGCTTTTATACTCTTGGGAGCACTAAGATGCCACATAAGAAGCCCACCCTCCTGTTTTGCTGGAAAGGCCACGTAGGGTAGGAGGGGTCACTTGTCCCAGAGTCTCAGCTAGGTCCCACATCTAGCTGAGCGTAGTTGAGTGACTACCCTGGACCCAGCCGACCCCATGGGGAACAGAGCCTTGTTCCCCACTCTGCCCTGCCACAGTCCTTACCCTCAGATCCCTAAGCACAGTAAATGATGGTGTGTTTAAACCGCTGACGTCAGGGATCTATTACACGGCATAAAGATTCATCACCAGAATGCCCATCAGCATGCTCCTTTGCTTGCCACTTCACAAGCCTTTCTCCATCCAAAGGGCTCAGAATGACATAAAAAAGCACCCCTAGAGGCCAGGCGCAGTGGCTCAAGCCTGTAATCCCAGCATTTTGGGAGGCCAAGACGGGCGGATCACGAGGTCAGGAGATCGAGACCATCCTGGCCAACACAGTGAAACCCCGTCTCTACTAAAAAATACAAAAAAAAGACAAACAAACAAAAAACTAGCCGGGCGAGGTGGCGGGCGCCTATAGTCCCAGCTACTTGGGAGGCTGAGGCAGGAGAATGGCGTAAACCCGGGAGGCAGAGCTTGCAGTGAGCTGACATCCGGCCACTGCACCCCAGCCTGGGCAACAGAGCGAGACTCCGTCTCAAAAAAAAAGCAAAAAAACGCACCCCTAGAAAACCACAGGGCTGGCCGGGTGTGGTGGCTCACACCTGTAATCCCAGCACTTTGGGAGGCTGAGGCGGGCAGATTACCTGAGGTCAGGAGTTCGAGACCAGCCTGGCCAACATGGCAAAACCCCATCTCTCCTAAAATTACAAAAATTAACTGGGCATGGTAGTGCAAGCCTGTAATCTCAGCTACTCAGGAGGCTGAGGCAGGAGAATCGCTTGAATCTGGGAGGCAGAGGTTGCAGTGAGCCGAGATTGTACCACTGCACTCTAGCCTGGGCAACAGAGCGAGACTCTGTCTCAAAAACAAACAAACAAAAAAAGATAAAGAAAAGCACAGAGCCGTGGGAAAGACCGTTCTAGCTGGAAGAGGAGCGGTGAGGAAAGGGGACAAAAGAGTGGAGAAACGAGGGCTTTTCCTGACCCCATTTCCTCCAGAGCCCTGCCTAGGACACAGCCTTTCTGGAGCCTCCCAAACATGCTTATTGTTTTATTTTTCGTCCTGTTTTGTTGTAGAGACGAGATCTCACTATATTGTCCAGGCTGGTCTCAAACTTCTGGCCTCAAGTAATACTCCCGCCTCAGCTGCCAAAAGTGCTGGGATAACAGGCATGAGCCACCCCATTCAGCCCTCTGCTTATTAATTTAGGAAAAAGAATAGAACAAAAGGGAAAGCAGAGAGAGAGAAGAGACAGAGAAAAAGGGAAAGAAGGAGAGAGACTCCTTCTTCCTTGACAACAAGCAGCTCAATCCTCAGCCTCCACCGTACAGAATGCACAGTCTCAGAATATTTTTATCCAGCCCCAGACGGACTCAGTGCACAATTGAGCCTGTGAGAAGGAGGCAGTCGGTGATCCTCCCCAGGCATTCACAGCAGCAGGTGTTTTCTGAGTTATTTAAGGAAGGTCAGGCTGTCCCCAAATATCTCCCCAACCCAGGTGCCACAAGGCCTGAAATATCACAATTTCATGCATGCATGCATGTATTCCTTCGATAAATATTTATTGAGCTCCTACTTTTTGCCAGCCCTGTTCTAGATGCCAGAAATACAGAGGTGAACAAAGCAGTCAAGGTCCCTTCCCCTGATTAAGTTTACACTTTGGAAGAAAACGAATAAATAATTTTCCATTATAATAAGTGCTACAAAGGAAATAAAGAGGGTGATATAAGCTGTCTGTGGAGAAACTGGAGGTGCTGTAACTGGAGCGGAGTGAGTGAAGTGGGGAAACTGGTACTGTGAAAGGAAAGTTGGAGAACTACAAATATCACCTTATGTCACTATCTTGACAGCCCATTCTGTCCTTTTCTAACTTGGATTTCTCACCCTCTGTGCCAAATTCTTTCTCTTAGAAATCTCTTCTCAGCCGGGCGCAGTGCCTCATACCTGTAATCCCAGCACTTTGGGAGGCTAAGGCGGGCAGATCACGAAGTCAGGAGTTCAAGACCAGCCTGGCCCCATCTCTACTAAAAACACAAAAGTTAGCCAGTTGTGGTGGCAGGTGCCTGTAGTCCCAGCTACTCAGGAGGCTGAGGCAGAAGAATTGCTTGAACACGGGAGGCGGAGGTTGCAGTGAGCCAAGATTGTGCCACTGCACTGTAGCCTGGGAGACAGAGGGAGACTCCATCTCAAAAAAGAGAAAAGAGATCTCTTCTCTGGGGGTCTCAATAGATAAATATGTGTGTCTGTGTGTTTCTGTGTCTGTGTGTGTGTATGAGCACACAGGCACACAAGATAGGGTCTCACTCTGTAACCCAGGCTGAAACACAGTGGTGCGATCACAGTTCACAGCAGCCTCCACCTCCTCCAGGGCTCAAGCAATTCTTCTGCCTCAGCCTCTTGAGTAGCTGAGACTACAGGCGCACAGCAGCATGGCTAGCTAATTTTTGTATTTCTTGTAGAAACGAGGTCTTGCTATGTTGCCCAGGCTGGTCTCGAATTCTTGAGCTCAAGTGATCCACCTGCCTTGGCCTTTCAAGTGCTGGGATTACAGGCGTGAGCCGCCATGGCCAGCCCTCAGCAGGTACCTTCTTATCTTACCAGGGGACTTGAACTTTTCTTCCCTAACCTCAGCTTTTCTTGTTCCCACCCCCTGGACATCTCTACCTTCCTCTCCATCTAAAACAAACCCCTCCCACCACCTGCCAATAAAGACCTTTGAAAAGCCTTAAGCATTAAACATTATTCTTTTCACATACGATATTAAAGACAAAATTTTGTGAAATGGCACAATTCTCATAGAGATGCAGAAATTAAAATAGTTTCTAGGTAACTTAATTAAAAAATGTTCGGCTTTAATTCACTTTATCTATCTATCTATCTATCTATCTATCTATCTATCTATCTATCTATCTGAGACAGTCTCTGTCACCGAGGCTGGAGTGCACTGGCACAATCGTAGCTCAACTGCAGCTTTCAACTCTTGGACTCAGGTGATCCTCCTGCCTCAGTCTCCCAAGTAGCTACTAGCCACCAAACCCAGCTAATTTTTTAAATGTTTTTTGTAGAGATGAGGTCTCACTGTGTTGCCCAGGCTGCTCTCAAACTCCTGGCCTCAAGCAATTCTCCTGCCTCGGCCTCCCAAAGTGCTAGGATTACAGGCAGGAGCCACCATGCCCCACCAACTTATCTAAATATTTTTTGTTTGTTTTGGTGGGAGGGATGTGTTTACTGGGGCTCCGAGCACAAGTTTATTCTGCCTACGGTATAATCCAGACTTTCCCTCCGGGTGTCTCTATCCTACGGTCTCTCACTGCAGTTTGGAGCCATTGTTGACTCCTGCCTCTCCATCATCCTCTCTGTCCAATCAGATCGTAGATCCTGCAGGCTCTATCCACTC